AGGACTATCCTTAAAAAGAAATAAAATTTAAAAAAAGATTAAACACTAACTGGTCTCTGGTTAAAGTGATCCGAGCTCTTAATGAATATTTCTCTTAGCATGTTTGGGTCAGCAACAATCATCCACTTATCAGTACCAATGTACCACCTAATCCAACAAAATATAAATATTCATAAACTTATTTTGATAAAAAAAACAATAATAACTGACAATATTATTTAATCATAAAAAATTGAACATTAGTAATTGAGTTACTCCAGTAAATCATGACGTACCCAAATACTTTACCATATTTATTGATATCATTATTTAAAGCCTCAATAATACCCTAATAAAAACATTTATTAACCACACCCACCACTAATTAATAAATTACCTGCCTCAGTATTCCATTAACGTTACCAGTAAAAGGTTCCACTGGAGGATGGGCTATACCTAACCTACTGAATACCTTATAAGGAATATAATAGTGTCTGGAGGAAGAGGATCACGTGATACCAGCTAATATGTTCTTACCTGTACCATATAATAAAAATAAGGATTGGAATTATAAAGAAAAGAATGAGAACAGTAAGCATTTCTGGAAATGCCAAATGAGCCACTCCCACAAAAAAACCACGCCTTACTAGTCTTACGCCCCCACACATACCATAATAATTAATTATTGTGAGCAGCAGAGGTAGGAGACAGTGACTGATTATTGTGAGCAGCAGAGGTAGGAGACAGTGACTGATTATCATCTCACTTAGTGATCATGGTTTTGAAATATAAAGCTACTAGAATCACTTCTCTAGGCTCACTGAAACCAGGTAGCTTAAATCTTAATGCATGCAATTTATATGCACTTACAATGCTGCAGTTTCCCTGTTGCTCATGACTGTGAATCTGATTTATTTTTAATCCAATAGGTGATCATATAAGGGTCTCTCATATGTTGTATAATCACCACATGTTGGTGGTAAAAGTTATCAATAATGGATTGCTACTACATGTCATTCATTACAGTGAGTCTGAGTACAGGCAAGCAAGTGTGGGAGCTGCTACTTCTGCAGCCTTGCCAAGTTCATTTTCACTATCAAACGGCACTGACATTGCAAAAGTGAAAGAGGAAAACATTTTCGTAGACCCACAAGAAGATAGGGTTGAGCTATTGGAGTATGATGACCCTGAAGTTGCTGTTCATCGTGGTCGAAATGCTATAAGGCGTGCTTGTAGCAGGATTGGTGAAAATAGATATGACTTTGTGTTCACAAATTGTGAATCGTTGATCAATTGGGCCATTACTGGAAGAGAAGAGACTGGCCAAGGTCAAGTTGCAATTGTTGCAGGAGCTGCTGCTGCTGCAGCAGTAGGAGTAGCTGGATTAGCTGCAGTTGCAGTTGCAACAATAGGAATACCTGGACTAGTTCTGTCTGGCTTGGCTTTTGCTTATGGTTATAGAAGAGGTAATGAGGAGCAGAGAGATGATGATGAGGACAACTAAAAGAAACATAACAAACATTACATGCATAGCAGCAAATCAACTACTAATTTGATGAACAATGTTGTCATAAAATCAATTAAGAGTAACTTTATTTATCAAGTTACATGTAACACAACCTAATGACAGCTTGTAATACATTCCATTATACCTAGCCTACTGAATACCTTTTAAACAAGAAGGTGCACTATAAAACCATTCACGCAACGTCATGAAATCGCTTCCGTCGATCACAGTATAAAAGGAGGTGCCCTGGGCACAATATGGCGGCCAGATTGAATTAAATTTGAAAATAACAAAATGGCTCCCGCACAGGCACTGTTCTTATCATGGCTAAATCACTAGCAAAATGCATTATAAAAACATTAAAATTAGCAAAGGTGAGAGAGTTAACCTACAAGCACACCTAGAAAGCATAGCAAGGAGAGAAATGGTATAATTGACTTGAAGTAATAATTTTACATTATTATCAAATATTATATTGTATATTCTGAAAAATCTGCCAACAACCTAAGAAACACGGTCAATGATGCTGTCAGGCAGGTAATAAGTGATAGTGGCAAGAGAATAGCCCTCACTACTACACAGAAAACCAGCCCAAGAACCGCCACCACTGGGACCAGACAGCCCTGCCGACTACCATATATCAGCCACCATCATCAAGTATAAGTGGTTCCAGCAAAAGACCCCAACATGGTCCTCATTCAGATCCTAGTACTGGTAGCAGTTGTAACATTCAACGATCTACTGGAAGAAGTAAATACAAAAATATTATTCTAAATTTTTAAAAATATAAACATTATGTATATAGGGTTGAATAGATATTGGGATGGTGAGGAGCCTCCTGTATCTGTGTACCTCTTCCCAACTGTGCCCAGTGATGCCGACAAAAATATGGCAGTACTGTGATGGTAATATACCAGTACAAGAAAAATGCTAGTATGAGCCTAAAAATATTAATGCCACCATATGATTACTTTACATTACAAATAATACTTACTTCTGTATCTAGTAACTAATAAACTTGAGTTACGATTACAGGACTCACAACTGGGAT